GTAAAGTTCAACTTCCCAAACTGGAACTTGCACATATCATATAACATGTTGCTGTTGTCTGTCCACCTTCCTTTGTCTGCTGCCTGGGGCAGAGTTCAGATGCAGCTCCAAGAAGGGTGTGGCTGACACACTCTCTGAATTCCAGACAAGGAAAACGGTGATGGGTGGGTGGATGAGAGTTGGGATTATGAGTTCAGAGCAGAATGTTGTTGGATTAATTTAGGACTAAATGGACACGATGCTGAGAAATCCAGTGTTTGACAGGACTTCCTTATGTGCCAAGTTTGGTGAAATTAGTTTCTTCCTGATATTATAATTGTTATTTTCTTCCTTCCTTCCTTCCTTCCTTCCTTCCTTCCTTCCTTCCTTCCTTCCTTCCTTTCTTTCTTTTGAGTTGGAGTCTTACTCTGTCGCTCAGACTGGAGGGCAGTGGCATGCTCATGGCCACCGCAGCCTCGACCTACTGGGCTCAGGTCATCTTTCCAACTCAGCTTTCCAAGTAACTAGAACTATAGGCATGTGCCACCATGCCTGGCTAATTTTTTGATTTATTGTAGAGATGAGGTCTCACCAAGTTGCCCAGGCTGGTCTCCAACCTGTGGGCTCAGGCAATCCTCTCACCTCGTTCTCCTAAAGTGCTGGGATTATATGTGTGAACCACCGTGCCTGGCCATAAATGTTATTTTCAATGTATATAGCTTCTTTCTTTGTAATTACACTTATTTCTTTTGAGCTTTGTGGTCCCAACTCATGAGGCCATTCCACTCTCTTTTGATAGCTAGTTTTTTTTCTGAAGATCTCTTGAATTGTGCTAGCTTTGATTATAAAGTGAATCCCCAAAGTCTTAGGTTTTAATTCATTTAACTACTCATGATCTCTGGTAGTTTCAGGTATGAATTCCTTCTTTCCCTCAGTATTCATTATTTTGGTTACTAATACTAAATTGAACTTTTTCTTTCTTATATCAAAATTTTGGATAATTTCTTCCTGTTATGCATCTTTAGAGAAAGTTATGATATTTTATATATATATATATTAACCCACTATTACAATATCATTAAATTTTAGGATTTAAAAGGATATTGGAAAAAGTGTAAAGCATTGTCATCTATTTACAGTTCTAGATATAATGGTAAGTTTGCATAGTATATTGGTAAGCTTTTTGCTTTGGTCATCAGGTTAGACAAGACAGCAGAAGCTTTTCACATTTTTTTCAACTGTAGCCCTTTTTTAAACATAGAACTTAGTATGGGATGGTAATATAAAACATATACAAGTGGTGTTTTATTAGTATGCATGTATTTTATAAGTTCAAATCTATCATGCTTTCACAATGTAAAGGCAAATGGTGAGAATAATTCAATTCTTTTATGAAGTGATACTTCAAAATTAGTGATATGTTCACAAATGAAATTCATTAGTATCCAACTAGAAATCATTTTTGCCTTGCGCGGAGGAAATTCATGCACACAGAGTGAAGCAGTTGCAAATTGTACCCCCCTCCAATAGTTTACTTTTTAATTTCAGGATGTTCTTCAATAAAAAATTAAATAAAATTTTAAATTAAACCTAAATGGCAGGAGAGGGTTGCCCTCCCAAAGCATGCCCACAACTGAGTGAACCTACAAGTTAGTATGATCTACTAACTCAATGGTAAACTTTGTGTATCACATTTGAGAGTGCATTCTGATTGCAGTCTAAAAAATGGTTAAAAATCCATGTGTAAAAATTTCCAATTAAATACGTGCAGTTCTGAAGATATCTGGGCTACTTTATTCCACAGAATATATTTTGCAAAGCAAAACAAAACGAAACATGTTCAGTGTTTATAATAGCTTTAAATTCAACAATACATAGTTGCTATATTTTAAAGTCCAGTAAAGTTCAACTTCCCAAGCCGGAACTTGCACATATCATATAACATGCTGCAGTTGTCTGCCTACCTTCCTCTGTCTGCTGTCTGGGGCAGAGTTCAGAAGTAACGCCCAGAAGGGCGTGGCTGACACAGTCTCTGAATTCAGGACAAGGAGAGTGAGAGACACTAGCTAACAGCTTTCTCTCTTGAATCAATAACTCTCGTGTGTATCAACATCTTAAACAAACTTGACTATTGAGATTCCTAGTTTGGGTAGAAGGAGACCAGAAGAGAAGATTTGGTAGGACCGAGTGTTATGCATGAGAAATGATCTCTGGGCAGTCCAGCGTTGTTAAATACACAGTGATCTCTTAGGGTTTAGACCCTCCCACCTTTGTAAACTTTGAAAGCACAACTGCTTTATATCATGATCTGGCCATATCTATTAACATGCCTCTACATTATCATCAAAAAATATAACCAGATTTGTATATGCTCGAAGAAGGCAAGAAAATGATGTAAAGGTTTTTAAGGCTGAAAATTAAAATCGATAAAATGAGTCCAGCAGTTTTGGGGTCAATTTTGGTTACCTGGAACATTGACTTCTATGAGACATTAAATTCCTGAAGAATGCTGGAAAAATGAGACATGCACGAATGTTTTCTTACCATGAGTCTGACTCCACGGGGTTACAAAATATTTAATCTTTATATCAGAAGTGCTAGTGTGCTTTGGATAGGTTTTACAGAGTTTATTTGTGCTGACAAAAGATAAGTCCATCAGCCTTTTCATGGGAAGCCAGGGACAGGGAAGAATGCCAAAAAGAACCTTCTGAAGGGACAGCAGAGTTTGAAACAGGCACAAAGGACGTTTGAGAAGCCACAGGAAGAGACACAGGTGGACATCAGAAAGAAGAGGGGCAAAGGAGAAGGAAATGGGGAGGACATTCTTTGAGGAGAAGCTCTGAACTCTGTAGCTTTTGTAGTGATGGTATCACAGCAGCCGGAGATATCCCTCAGTACCAGCCAGGTGTGGGGAGTGGTGAGTGGGGAAGACGGCAACTGTGACTCAGTGTTTGGGTCCTTAACTGCACAAAGGAAGAAAATGCCATCTCTTCACCACCAGGAGGGTTATCTTTGAATGGAAGAGGCACTGTGTGTTTGCAAAATGTGGCAACATATATGACATGTGGAAGCTTTGCTGTAGCCCAACCATGGGCTCTTAGGCTTTCACTGGTTGTTACCTCCTCCTCTTCCCTTCATTTCTTCTGTCCACAAATATTTATTGAGGTCACACTGAGCACCCGACACTAGTAGGTGCTGGGGATATAGGCAAGAATGTGCCCCAAAAGGGAAAAGACAGCCTGATCTTGCAGTCACTGGACTCTCATTGTACTGTGAGACAGAGACATGCCAGTAGGATGACATGCATTAGAGCAGGGGAAGGAAAGGAATGTTCCTGGTCCAAATTTGGAATGCAGGAACGCTTCCCAGAGAAAGTGATACCTAAGGTGAGACCTGAAAGGTAAATACAGCTACCTGGGGAAGTGGAATAGGAGGACAGATGGGTGTTCTAAACAAGGGAAACAGCATGTTGGGGAGCTGTAGGAAAGAGAAGAGGAGTCTTCGGGACTGAGATGATCTCCAAGGCCAGAGTATTTAGTGGAGTGAGAAATCTTCAGAGGGCTGGTCTCAGGGGTGTTGGAAAATGGGAGGCTGGACTTTATTCTAAGGTCAATGGGAAGACACTGAAAGGTTTTACTCAGAGGAGTAACATGATTGGATTTGCATTTTAGACCATTTGCTTTGGCACTTAGGATTGAAAGGGCAAGACTGGTCAGTGTTGTAGTAGTTACCTGAAAGATAAATGTGGCCTATAATTTTAAAAAGTAGTGGAGATGGAGAGTATATATGTACGGGTGCCAAAAATGTATATACATTTTAAGTATGATGTTCACTAAAAAGATGGTATTAATCAAATGAATACTAACATCACCATGCGACAGGCAGGGCAGTCAGAGAAAATGGTGGAAGCATGGTTGAACGAACATCATACCACACGTTGCTACCATCATTTACATTTCAACTTTGAAAAGTAATACATAGATAATATCTCTTAAAATGTGTATACATTTTTTGGCACCCCTGGTATATATGTAACTGTGATCAACATATATTTAAAAGATAGAATCAATAGGCCTGGTGATTCTTTTTGATTGGTTGATTAGATGTGTGAGGAGTCTATATTACTCTTAGGTTTCTGACTTGGGCTACTGGGCACCCATAAATGAAAAAGTGAGCACAGGGGAGGAACTTGTCTCAAGGGTGGGTTGGGGTGATGAGCAGTTGTGATTCAGACTGGTAGAGTTTGTTGTGGGTATGGAATAAGCAAATAGAAATGCCGTTGGATCTGAAGCTCAGACTTGGGAGTGATCTGAAGATAGGTCAGGAGTCCCCAAAGCTGCAGGAAGGAGTGCGATCACCCAGGTGATGGTGTGGACTGAGAAGAGAAGAAAGCCCATATGAGGATCCTGAAGGAGAGATGAGCAAAGAGAAACCCATAGGAAACAGGGAAGGAACAACTAGAAGTAGAAGCCAGGCCAGCAGTGTGTAGCAACATGGAAACTGAGGAAGAGGGTGTTTCAGGATGGAAGGGAGGCCACACAAGAGGGGGACTACAAGGTGTCTGTTTCCTGTGTCCACGGGAAGTAATTATAACTGTTGCGAGAAAGTTTTGGAAACAGAAGTTAGAAGCTAAACATAGAGTAGAGGAGTGAGTCAGAGAGGAGATGGGCAGGGACAGTGAGGTTAGGTCTCTCTATAAGGAAGTTTGGTTGAAAGAGTAGATTGTACGCATGCTGGAATGTGTATGGGGTGGAGGGAGGAGCAGCAGAGGTCAGGAGAGCCTTGAGCTTGTATGAATGCTGGTGGGAAGGAGCCCCTAGAATAGTGGAGCCAAGGTTGAAGTTGTGGGAGTGAGCTGGCGTAGAAGGTCCTGGGAATGGAATGGGATCAAGAAAAATGAGAGAGAGATGCCCTTAGCCAAGAGAACAAGTCCCGCATCCACTGTGACAGAGGGGAAAGATAAAACAATTGGTGTTTTGTAGTACACTATTTTAATTGTGTTAAAAAAAATTTCTCCACAGACACTACCCAAAGCAGTCCTTCACAACAGTGGCAGATACACCTGAGAATCTTCGCCTGAAGCAGCAAAGTGAATTGCAGAGTCAGGTAATTTCTGGAAGGCTATCTTCATGATATTGTTACCACAGATTATTCACAAGGCCGCTCTCCTGGGATCTTTGTCATGCTGTTTGTGCCAGGTCACCAGCCAGAGTATAGGCTGAAAGCAGGCCTGTCTGGGAATTGTGGGTGAAAAGCATTGGGCATCTGTATTATTCCTGGTCTTGGATTGTCTTAATTTTTGGTTCTGTTATTTACGGGGACTAGGGCAAGTAAATGAGTTCTGGTCAGAGTCAGTGTTTCCCAACAACATTGACTTATTTGGTCCTAAATATTTAAAAACATTTTACATTTTATAAATAGCTTTTCCACACCGCATATGTGGGGGAAAAGCAAGGTGTTAACTTGACCCAGTTGCAGTGCGTGTGGGGCTAACACCCTGTCTGTGTATCTCACACCAGCCACAAGCTTTGTTTTCCTCCTGTCACTTTGTTCATATTTTTTTCATATGTCACATTGACAGCATGAACAAAGATTAGAACACCACAATTGGCTCCCAGTCAACCATGTTAGATGGCAACTTGCCTTCAATATGGTGAAATACATCGGTTAAGACTAGGATTGTGAATGGCAGGGGTTTCTACAGGGATACCCAATCTCTTTAAGAAACACAGGGTGCTCTCTTTCAAATCAGCTACCTTGCCTGACATGATATAGTCAGAAGTTGAGCAACTACAGTGCAACCCATTGGTCAACGGTGAAGTAGAACACTGAGGAAGGGGGAGGGAATGCTGGTTTTTTGGCCGTCTTTGGCTGTTCGTTGTTGTGTTATGGCCTTGGACCGGATACTCCGATCTTTGTGCTTCTGTAAAGTGAGGCAGTCTGTCTTGTCTACCTGTCTTGAGGGTGGCTGCAAGTATCAAATGAGGCAGTTAGGTGTGAAAGCATTTTGTAAAGTTAAAAAGTATTCTATGATGGTAGGAGCTGACTATAATGATTGTTATTATGGTCACTGGGAACTCCTGGGATGAAAAAGGGAAAAGAACAGAGTTTGTGAAGGAAAGAGGAATCTAGCTGGGTCTGGAAAATGTCAGTCTGTAGCTCTTCTTATGAGAGTAAGCAGCTCTCAGTAGCTTGGGGTCAAATTATTTCCTTGGCAGTGTATCTAATCACAAGGGAGACTGTGGTCCCCTTTTTGGGGAACTTGGGGGCTACTTCTCAGGCTATTTAATTAGAACAAATATAACTGTCGGTTACCAACACCTTAAAGACTTGGTTAGAGCTGTGTTTTGTTTGTTTGCTTAAAATGTTGAGTTTTTTGGTGCTAAGCCACTGATGCCAAAAATTAGATGCTGGCCAGAGAAAGACACAGTTATGGAGGCCATAAGAACATCCCTGCTCATTCAGACCTCTGGGACGACAAGAACTTGCCTCTAGTCTTTGCAGATCCAACAGCTTTCTTTCTCATCAAGTTAGGATTAATCGGATAATTCTAGAAAAGTACGCATTGGAAAATAAAATGAAGTCAAGCAATCAAATACTTACTTTCTGCCGATTATGTGCCTTGGTACTGTGCAAAAGAATTTATAATTAGCTACCCCTCCCTTCACAGAGCTCACAGGGCATCTAAGGAAAGAAGACTGACACACACCTGGAATGATTATGCTTATTTTATTATGAGGACTCAGAAAAGGAGGGGTCAGTGTGGATTGGCCTGGAGAGTGCTCCATGCTAGAGGTGAGATCTGGACGGAGATGGAAATTTGAGAAAGAATCTGACATAAATGCTGTCTCCTTCCTTTGGATGGCACGCCACTGCCTTTGGACTCAGTGTAGTGGTTCGAGGTGTCTTCAGCTCAGCCCGGGAGAAGCATTTATTATTTTCTACCATGTGGCTGGCTTTGGAGGTGCAAAGCAAGAAGGAGGTCATTGTTTTATGAAAGGCTGACTTCATTCGCCCTGATAGCAAGTTGTAGGCTTCAGAAGGCAGTGTTGTGCAAATCATTATTGGCTGGTGGGATAAGAGCAAATAGAGATATGTACAAAGCACCGTGGGATTGCCAAGCAGTGGTCAGGATCGCATTTTTCTTTGGGATTTTGTTCAAATGTCATCTTCTCTAGAAACAAAATGTAGGACTTCATCAGGCAGACAACATGAGAAATTCAACTCCATTCAAGAAACATGTATATTATCTATTATGTGCAAGGAATTGTGCATTGGGGAGGTAAAGACATCATCATCATCAACAACAACAACCTTGCTGTCTTTCAGGCACACAGTTTTACAACCCTGTGAGACAGGCAGTCATTATTATCCCTGTTTAAATGAAACGCTCCATGTGTAGAGAACTTGAATAACTTGCTCTTGCAAACTTAGCTGGTAAGGAGTCAAACATGGAATGTGACCTTGGTCTGTGGACCCCCAGTATCCATACTGTTAGCCAGCACTTTGGTGCTTTTGCTCAGAAAGCATCTAGAAAAGATCTGTAAGAACATAATTGTAATACATGGCCAGTAGTGGTGTCTCATGCCTGTAATCTCAGCACTTTGGGAGTCCGAGACAAGCGAATTGCTTGAGTCCAGGAGTTTGAGAAAATAATTGTTATATAAGGGGATGATGCAGCAAATGCAAAGGTAGGATTTTTTTTTTTCTTTTTTGGAGTTGGAGTCTCACTCTGTCGCCCAGACTGGAGTGCAGTGGCCGCTTCCGGCCACCGCAGCCTCGACCTGCTGGGCTCTGGTGATCCTTCTGCCTCAGCCTTCCAAGTAGCTGGAACTACAGGCGCGCGCTACCATGCCCGGCTAATTTTTTTGATTTATTGTAGAAATGAGGTCTCGCCAAGTTGTCCAGGCGGGTCTCGAACCCGCGGGCTCAGGCAATTCAGTCACCTCAGTCTCCCAAAGTGCGGGATTACAGGCTGAACCACTGAGCACGGCTAGGATTTTTTATAAAGTAGAAGTGAGAACAGCCATCATTATTTTCTTTCTGAATGAGAGGTGAAAATACTTTTCTAGGAGTATTTCTATTTTTGCAAGAGGGTGAAAAGACATCTATCCTAATGGTAATACTCAGTAATGACATTTGCTTTAATTTAGCCTATAAGGTGATTGGATTCTGCAACAGAGCATTTCCTTAGAGTTTTGATATCTGGAATTCTGAACAACTCAATGGTATCAGTGGAAAATCTATTATTAATATTTTATATACTTGTTTTGGTAATTTGTGTTGCTAAATGAATCACATCTATTCATAGCTTCAAGTTTTCAAGTTCTGAAAGCGTTTGGAATTGTTTGGTTAAAACTAGTTCTCTTCCTTCAGTTCATTAGCTTGCCAAATGAGCCAAAATAAAGGAAAAACACAAATTAATTTTCAGTCCAATCTAGAAAGTTATTTATAGTAGCATGTTGTTATCTTGTCCTTTTAAAATTTATCTTTCTTGCTCTTTTTTTCTTTTACTCTTTTTGAAAGGGTTATAAGCACTGTCAGCATTTTTTTTTTTTTTTTTTACACCTAAGTGCCAAATTTTGTCAAGCTTTTTTTGGGGTCTATATTTGGTGCCAGATTGTCATAATAAAAGTATATGAAATACTGGTGAATAAACAAGCAAACCAGGAGTTAGCTTTTCAGAACAGGTGCTAGCCAGTGGTTTCTGGGCATTATCCAGCTGGTGGTGAATGTTCACTTGGCTAGCCCCTGACTATGTGAATGTGGATTGCCTTGAACTTGGTAGTCAAAGAGGGAGAGAGAAGGAGTAGCCCTTCTATCATCACTAGTTCCCTTTGGATTACATGTCACAGCATATGCTTCAAAGAAATAACATAAGTGGTGGCAAGGCGCCCCCATGGGCCCACAGCAGCATATTCAACAAGGGGCAGAAATACAACTTTATAGCTGGGGACATTAGTAACATTACAGTCCACCTGTGGCGCACCAGGCTTCATCTCATTCTCTGTGGGAAAGGGAGCCCGAGTACCAAAGCCCTAGCTTAGAAACAAAGGTTTTGGGACACAAACTCTTTGTAAGTTGTGGAATCTCTAATCTTTCAAAATTCAGGTGACACAAACAGCCCCTTAGGAAAAACATTTCTTTAACTGATTATTTTAATACTGTGTGGTAGGGTAGAAAGCATTTCTTTTCTCATGCTGTGTAGTACACTCTGTTGGGAGAGAAGGCACAGATGCTTTGAGAGAAGGCACAGGGGTTGCAGACTTCCCAAAACTGTGGAAATGGTTCTTCTGGTAGAATTTTGAGTGGAAGCCCCCCTCGAAAAGAGAGCAACTTGGGGCTATTGTGGTTGAAGCTGGATGGGGATCCAAACCCCTGCCCTCTCCAGGGTCCCCTCATCCTCCCACCCCCAGGGCCTTAGAAAACTTGGGTCTCTATAGAGCATCATTTAGAAAAAGACTGCTCAAAAGGAAGATGGGACAGCAGCTACTTCCCCACTTAGTTGTTTATGTGATTGACTTAGCTGCTTGTAATCATGCTGAAAATAATAGGGATATGGGGCTTACTGTGTTCTTTAGTGGAGTGTTTGTAATTTATAAGCGCTGATAAGATGAAAGATGGAAGATGATGAGGGTAGAATGCAAATCATTCAGGAACCTTTGAGTCTTCCTCTTGTAATCTATGTTGGTTCTTTTTTAATCTAAGTTTCTGCAGAGGCATAAAAACATGGTTCACAGGGAGTGCTATGTATGATAGTAGTGAGGGTGAGAAGGTAAAGAGATTTTTTTTTATAGGCACCATAACAGTTAAACATCTTTATGGAAGGAATTAAGACACGTGTTTAATAGAACCCTCTGGATGCTCAAGAAGGCAGTGATGTGGCATGCTTGCCTTTCCCTGGCTCCTCTTTGTTACCTTTCACTCTGTGTTCCATTTCTAAAGGTTTCTCTCTCAGCTATCTGTCATCTAACCATCCAGTAAGGTGTTAAATAATTACCTAAAGCACGGCCCCTCTCAGGGGGCAGTTGCATTCTAAAAGGTGTCTGCTGAAGTCTGGCTTTCCTCGAAGCAAGGGGTCTCTGAAAAACTCTATTTAATGTCAA